TGAAAGCAATTTCAATTGGAAATGTAAGAGTTTAAACATTTTGATGTTGTATCAAAATAAAATAAAAAATTTTTAAATATTTTCTTCATAGGACAGAAGCTTTCTAACCAGTGCACATTAGGTCAAATGATTCATTTGACTATGCGAAAGTTCACTTTCGTAAAGGCAGTTTTACATTATTTTTTGTTGCAATTCTGTAGGAAATACTCCAAAATAACAGAAACTTCACTTAGTCACGGTTAGACAGCAATAAACCAAAGTTACACTTTCAAAATGTTATTGATACGATGTTTGCGCAACCGGTTTATTTTATAAGTTTCAAGTGAACTTTTTTTTGTAAAGTTCGAACAGTTAAGGGTAAATTTTAAATGGAAAATAAAACTATAAGTGAGAACCTATGTCCCAATTTAAAAAAGTGACTTTTTATCATTTGTTTGGGGTGTAGAGCAGGTCGCCTCCACGTGGTGCATCCTGGGTAACGCCAAATGTACTTCGGCCTCTAAACCTGAATGGTAACGACTTGGCTTCGTCCTCTGACTACGATTTTTGAAACGATTTGGATTTATCGATCCTTGAGATGGTGGTTGTGGTATTCTATCACCTGAGTATGCTGAGGTGACACTCAGCAGAAATGGCTGGTGGGCTAATGCCGCAACTGCCCCCGTCCCGTTAAAACCCTGGCAGGCCTCAGAGTAGGTTCCGATTCCCGTCGCCGTTAAGTTGGTGGTTTGGTGCGGTTTAGATGACTCCCGTTTTTGCGCTGGTCGGCTCCGAACTCATGACCCCATAAGGGCATGTCTCAACCCTCGCCATAGTCTTGTTCAGAGGTAGCTATTGGACCATTTAAAGGCGACTACACGCTCGGGTTTTGGATAGCGGCTCTGAGTGGGGACCCAGTGAAACATGAAAGAAAACGAAATCAAAAAACCAAAAAATAACCAAAAGAAACATAAGCTTTCGAGCGGTGGTGGAGAGCCGGAGCCGACCCCAAAGCCAGCTCATCTGGGGGCTACAGCACCACCTACGGTCCGCGAGGCGAAACCGCCGCGTTCTACTAATTCCACCTCTGGGGGATCCTTAACGGATAGTCATTCGGGGGGTAAGAGCGCGTCGAAGCCGACGCACTTAAATGCTTCTGGGGGCAGGTGCAGTCGCCGCCGGGGAGGCAGAAGTGCCGGAACCGGACTCCGTGGGGGTCTCTAGGCAAGGAGCCGGATTTAGCGAGCCAGTTAGGGGGGTGAGGGACGGAAGCGCCAGCACCAGCTCGGGCTCTTCATCCAGTTTTCCGGGTATGTCCTCGAAGGCTCTCCACAAGAAGCCTTTGGGATTGCCTAAACGGCAGGTATCGTCAGACCGAAAGGTTTACTCAGACAGGCGCATGGCTACCAGGATTTTGAAGCGCTATGGCGGTCAGGATGCTTCTCAGCTAGCTGAGCAACATTCGAAAACGCTCGAGTGGGCCAAAGGGGTACTATGTGGCCTGGAGGAGAGGGCTAAGAACCCGCCGAAAGGGACGCGAGTGCGCATCCTGCAGGTCCTAAGAGACAAAGGTCTCAAGAGGGAGAAAGCTCCCGCGCAAAAAGACCCAGGAATGGGGGTGCCCCTGTTCAGTTCAGCGAAATCGAAGTAGAGAAGATGGCACCATATCCAGGGAAAACTGGAGTCGCGAGCATCAGCCATCTCCTCTGTTTTTCTGAGGATGGTCAGGGGAAACCCTGGTCCACCTCCGCGATGTGAGGATGGTGGATGCCGTCATGCCATCCACAAAAGGAGATTGTCTGCGCCAACGAGCGGTCGGCATCTCTTTATAAGGCTGCATTGGCTCTGGTGGAGGAGGTTTGGGAGGGCGCCAAGCTGGAAGCCGTGGACGAGCAGGACATTCCTGCCCGCCCACGTGCCCGTGTCTGGCTCCCCCCGAGCCCTCCGCACCGGAGCAGATTGAGGAAATCCTCCGATTCTGCAACCCGCATCTGCCCACGCACAACTGGCGAGTTGTCAGATTTGAGGCGTCCGAGGATTCCGAGGAGTCACAACGACAAGCGCTGATATTGCCCAATGCGGAATCCCTCGGCCCCCTCGCTGAGTCCAGGCGAGTCATCACTTATGGATTCGAAAGGATAGTCCTTAGGGTCTACCAATCCGATTTCAGGGGTGATGGCTCGCAATCTCCTGAAGTACCGGAAATGCGTGAGTCCTAGGCGGAGGAAGCCCCCATGAGTATGGAGGTAGAATCCGTCATGTCGGAGGCCAAAAGTGCTGAGGATGCTTTCTCAACGGAGGGCTCCGTCATCAGTATCGGACGGTTCTACGACAGGGCGGAGGAAGAGAGGCTCTTAGCCTCAGTAAACGAGGACGTCGAACTGGCGTGGCTGGAGAGGACTTTGGTGGATGAAGATCCTGCAAATAAACCTCGAACACACTAAGGCGGCGTCCGCAAATCTCCTTATCCACCTTAAGCAAGGTGGAGCCGACGTAGTCCTGATCCAGAAGCCGTGGCGAAGCAGTAGCGGTATCTCCGGGATCAGGACGCCTAATTTCAAGCTGATGGTGCAGAAACTGGTGCATGCTCATCAGAAACGAATTAAGAGCACTGATTCTACCTAATTTTAGCAATGAGAACATTGTGACTGTTAGCCTGGATAGCGGCGCCAGAAAGCTCTGGATTATATCCGCATACATGGCACATGAAAACGAGAAGGAACCACCTCTATTACTACTGCGTGAAGCCATAGCCAAAGTAAGGCGACGGAAAGCCGACGTAATTATCGGATCGGACGCCAATTCATGATACTCGTGCTGGGGAAGCTCAGATATCAATGCAAGAGGTGAGTCCATTTTTGATTATATTCTAAGTGAGGACTCATGTATTTGTAATAGAGGAAACGAACCGACCTTTATCCCCGCGGCTAGGCGAGGGGTTTTGAATTTAAACTAGCCTCGTCGTCCGTATATTCCGTCTCCGATTGGAGGGTTCTTAATGATCACTTCTTTTTGGACCATAGGTATATTCAGTGTTTTCTGGACGAAGACCGTCCTAAGAGTATCCCCTTTAGCAATCTTAGAAAAACAAACTGGGACCTCTATAGAAAAAACTGCGGGAACTAATACCAGAGGCCCCCCAGGAGAGCTCAAGCACCGAAGGCTCGATTGATGTCATGATGGAGAAGTTTACACCAGCTTATAAGAGTGCCATAGAAAGCTCATGCCCGCTGAGTAGGCCCGGGGGCAAAGTCCGACCAAAATGGTGGACGGTGGAACTGTCAGAAATCGGAGCGTCGAGTAGACGCCTTTTCAACAAGGCCAAGAAGAGTGGACAATACTCCGACTGGGAACTCTATAAGATCAGACAGGGCATCTATAAGTCCGAGATAAGAGAGGCCAAAATCGAGTCATGGAGAAATTTCTGCGAAGCCGTAGAAGATTGTAATGAATCATCGCGATTCAGGCGAATCCTCGCGAGGAATCCCGTACCCTTGGGATACTTGAGGGACGAAGAGGGCAACTGGGCGATGAGTGGAGAGGAATCGCTTAAGCTACTCCTTGACATTCATTTCCCAGAAAATTCGGCACCGTGTGAGCCCACCGGTGTTGGAACGGGCGACTGCCTTACCTCCTCCTCTGATGAACTACTGGAGAGGCGCCGACTGCTCTGGCCGATTGTTTCTGTCAAGCCTTTTAAGTCCCCTGGACCGGATGGCATCATCCCTGCGTAGCTGCAAAAGGATGTGGAGGTCTCGTGCCGCTGGCTCACTCCTATCTATGCGAGCTGCTTAGAAATAGGGGGCTTGGAGGAGTGTAAGGGTCACGTTCATCCCCAAAGCAGGAAAGAACGCTCATGTATCCCCGAGGGACTTCAGAACAATCAGTCTCTCATCTTTCTTATTGAAGACTTTTGAGAGACTGATTGACCTGTACATAAGAAACAGGATTCCTCGGGAACGTTCTAGCCTCTCTCAGCATGCCTACCTG